TTCATAATTATTTTGGGTTTTCAAATGAATGTAGAATATGCAAAGTTACTGCTTTATTGTGGTCCATTATTAAGAGGGTCGGGTTTGGAGGTGTTTTTGCTATTATACACTTGGGGTATATTTAGTTTATAAGAAATAGAGAGGGAGAAAAGATAAATTTTTTTATTAATCAAATTATAATGTTTAAAATTAATTAACAGCTATAAAGCATGTCAAAAATTAAAGCTTACATCTAACATTCAGAATAGTATCAATTAAGCTGTAAAATAATGAGTCTAGCTAGCTATTACATCTTAAACAAAATGTAATTGACTTAAATATATAAGTTTATTCCCACATGAAATTGTAATTGAGAGCTCATTGCATCTTTGACTAATGAAAATTATTTCTCCATGCTGCAACGTTAAAGTAGTACAATTTCCTAGCCAAAAATAAATTCAAAGGGAAAGTCGGAGCAAGGAAAGGAAGAATAAAATAACTCCAGTTGTCAGTTGGAGATATGGTCAACACACTGATGGAATAGCAGATAAAGAGTAATACAAGTAAAGGGTAGCTCAACATGGCATTCACCGTGCCATTTACTGCATCTGTTAGGAGGAGGAGTGCTATCATTGTGAAAACTGTAAAACCAAAAGTGAGACTGTTGGCTAAATAGAAAAAATTAAAAACACCTGGGTCCAGGACTGATACCCCAACAGACTGTTCTTGATCTGTTAAAGAGATGTTGTAGAAATTAGTAATGTTTCCCTGTGTAAAATTACCAGGAATATTGTTTTCCTGTGTAAAACCCCCCGGAGGGGTAAGGCAGGCTTGGTAGGTGGTTGTAACGATCAGGGCATATACTACCAGCAAAGCATTGAGCGATTCATTCGAAAATTTGTTAAGCTGACGTTTCACATCCCTTAATAATACTTCCTCGAGTGAGAACTCCGTAGATCTCAATGACTGGGCTAAGGTTGGACGTGGAGGAATAGCTGAAGCATTCCGACATTTAGCCCGACCAAGAACATCCCTAGTCTCTCTGCCGTTATTCTGACCTTCTGATATATCTAGAGCTGTTTGCCCCTTCAAATTTAACTTGTTCTTGGAGACATTGAATTTTAATAACAAACTCACCATCTATTATAATGAGGGAAAAGAGATTGTTTAATTTAGAATTAATATGAATCTATACACTAAAAATAAAAAAGTTGACTTGAGTGGATGCATGAGACTGTACCTGGGGATCATTATTTTGTGCAGCTATATGCAATACGGTGTTTCCTTCAGTGTCCTCCCCATTCAACACTACCCTTTCCCAAGTTGTGCTATTTTTGTGGGTACTCCTGCAAATCCAAGAAGCCAAGAGTTTTGCAGCTTCATAGCGTCCGTTTTTTACAGCAACCTGGAAAGCAGTCTGGCCGTGTATGTTCACATCTGTGATGCATTCAGGGCATGCCTCCAGAAACTCTACTAAAAGATCCAGTGCTTCATGGTCTGCTGCAAAATGCAAAGGGGTCTGACCAGCCTTGCCTTTGACACGAGCTAGATCTTTGTCGACTTTTAGGAGCGTCCGTACCACTAAAGTTTGATCATTTTGCACAGCAAGATGCATTGGGCTTAACCCAGATGGGTTTAACTTTCTGGCAAATGATGGCTTTAAGTTCATCATTTCCAAAGCAAATTCAACGTACCTTTTATTTTCAGCTCTAATTTGTTCATTATTTTGCTCCGGAACCATACGTTGAACAGCT